GCGAGATTTTTAAATGATGTAGAGTCAAAGGACACAACTTTATTGGAGAGGAGAGTCTTTAGTGCTCACTGCGGAAAAAGACAAATCGTACATCGGACATTTAGGGCAGAAATAGACTCCTAAGCTACAACCCAGGTTAATTCACAGAAACGTCCTAAAACGCAACCCAAACTAATCCACAGCAATATCCTAAACGCGCAAAGTGAAAGCCAGTAACAAAAATGTTAATTATATTAAAACCACTCATACACTAGTTCAAAGTGCATGACGTATTACATACACTTAGTTAATGTGCAAGATTTGTATGTTTCATATGTAGTTGATGTAATTTTGATCTACAGAAATAGATAACTTATCGCACATCATGCACTACGGGGGTAATGACAGTTTAATGATAAATATTATTATTATTTGTTGTTGTTGTCAGTTTAGTCGTATTTATGCATGAAATAAGTATCTAAATAAACATAAATAAATAAATTCGTAGGGGGTAGGTTGAAATCACCTTCAAGCTACCCCAAGGGGTAATTTGAAATCGATTTCATTCTACCTCCCGGTAATCTGAACGCAATTTCAAGTTACGGTGAAGCAGGGGTAATCTGAAATTGCTAGACCCTGGTAAGAAATTAAAGTTACTTTCAACACAAATAGAAATAGTGGTATAAAGATTACTTAAATAAAAAGTTTCGACTGTTTGTGCTTTAAATGCCTTAATTTTGTCTTTGCATTAAAAAATTACTAATGATAATAAATGGATTAATATACAGTATTTTCAGAAATGCTCTTTAATGTATTTAATGGTTTAACCAATTATAATCCTTAAATCCTTATTCGTAGCTTTTTTGTGGTCCTGTATTTGTGTGGTGATTCACTTAATTTGAAAACCTAAAATACCTTTGGTATTATATTATTATTTTTTCCGAATGGGCACAACTTTATACAGTCTCATTGCTTGAAGATGTTAGTATTTGTAGATTAAATCCTATTTTTATTTTATTTTTTTATCGACGGGAATAACAAGGTATTTACAGTGTAAATAACCTAGTTATTATTGTAACATCTTTTTTCATTTTTTTTTCATAACATATTCCTAGTTTTTAATAATGACATTTTAAAAGTAACTTATGTCTTTATGAATTATATGTTTTAACCTATTTTTCCATTCTTTAAATTAGTTCATTTTTAAGTCTTTTCTAACACAGTTTATGTAAAATACTTTAAGGAATTTACTAATGACTTGTTATGTGAAGTTCCGGCTAATTTTAGTAGTATATTCTAGAAATTTGGAACCTTTAATAATTAAGATTTGTAAATTATCACTGCCTTCAATTTCAGATTATCGATGAGCACACATATATATAGCCAACAAAAGATTAATTGATAGAGGATGATTCAGAGGCATCGCAAGGCACTGGGACATGAGGCCCGTGCCCCGATTCTATTTAACAGTGCCTCGAATCCCCAGTTGGTGTCTTAAAAAATCAGAACAGAAAAGCATGATCGACATCAGACTACAACGCCGAAAATTCCCGCGCCTATGGGCCCGATCCCCGAATCTCTTAAGCACCTAGCAACGCCTCTGGGATGACTTACAGCTACAATCAAATTTTAACACTTTATTCAAGTGTTACTAATTGTTTGATATTTATGTTTTTACAGAGAGACATACTATTTTTCTCTTGTTTCTTCTTCCAAACACTTTTCAATCGAGCGTCATTCCTTTACTTCTCGGTGGACTGAAACTTGGTAGGGGTATACCTCAGTTCAATACGTCCAGACATCTTTCTCATTTTTTTATTTAGGGTATTTTAAAAATATATGGGGTCAAACAACCAAAAAATTTTATGTTTTGAGCTCCTGTGCGGTCATACTTACAGCACTCAAGATGAAAACTACCACAAATATTAATTTACATGCACCCAACACATTGACGTACAAAAAGTTGGATTTGCCAATTCTGAGTCTTTTTCGGTGGGCCAGAGCTCACAAAAAGCATATTTTGACCGATTTACATGAAATTTGGTATAAATATACCTTTTTGCAGGACTTAAGCAGTAATTTAGACAATTTTCGATTTGTCTGTGTTTTACGATTTTTCTGGTGTCAAAATTTGCCATGTTGAGATTGCGTACCGGAGACATGTTGCATTCGCCCTCGAATGTTGGCCTCTTTAATTAATTAAAAAAAAAAACTGTTGTATAGAAATACCTATAACTACAAATGTTATTTTATCATGTATTATACTTATGTCAATACACGTACCTTTAAAGTAAACCTTATTGTTGTAGTCTGTATTTAATTATTTCATTTAGACATTTGTATCTTTTTTTTATTCTTGAGGAAATTTTTTTGTCACGTGACTCGCGTATTCATGCATCATTTATTGATTAGAACTTATTTAAAAATGTAAGAAAGAATTCGAACGATATAAAACACGAGTTAGATTTGAGTTGATTTAGCGGATGATTTGGTAACTGCGTTACCGAGTTTGTTAGTCAATTTATGTTTCAACGAAGAAATAAAAGTATGAAAAAATTAGCAACTGAATGTTTAGCGTTATTTGTGAAGCTGAGCGTATCATAAGTTTACGAAACTGTGTAAGTTGTAGAACTATAGTGAAATAAATTAAAGTCTTTCGCAATTATAAGAGGACTGGACTCTGCATTATTTTATTCCCGAATAATACCCACACAACAGTGAAAACTGTTACAACATTATCTTTAGGCTTCTTAGGAATTGTTGTTTAATTGAGAAAGTTTAATTAACAAGAAGTGTGATATTTTTAGGTACACCGATTCTTATCTTTCTGTTAGATAAATAGATAATAGGAGGAATGGCCAAGATACTTCGCACACAGTTAAAGCTGAAAACTTGACTTGAATGAGTTTTTTAAAAAATGAGACTGGATACAACTTTAAACAAAGAAAAACTAGTCTTTTTTTTTTGAGGCAACAAAAATAAGTCAGAAATGAGTACATAAAATATGAAACAGTTCTTCTAGAAATTAGAAAAGAGTTTAGGTTCTCGATTTTTGTCCGAAGGATTTCTGAAGATATTGTGTTCTAGACTGAGAGAGTACGGTATCATATACACAAAAACAATAACATCATTCCTCTTAGCACTTGGGCCATGTGAAAGTAAGGCAGTGGCAGCTGGTGAACACTTTGACAGGTAACGTACACACTATACATAGCTACATTTTAAACTAACTGAAATCAATATATATATAATGATCCACAACTTCTCATCTTTTAAGAGTCCATTTTTTACTACGTTGTTAGATAACCTTTAATATAGTTTGAGCTCTCCTGTTGGCATGGTAACAGGCCGTTCTGGCACACGCAGTGCCCTTTGTTTGAACGCACTCTTCTATATGTAAAAACAGAAAATTGTGATTAATGCTTTAGCAGCAATGAATTAACTCTTTAGCTCAGGTGGTAGAGTGCGTGAGAAATCTTGGGTTTGAATCTGAGCTGAGTAGATGTAAAAAAAAGAGGTTTAAAACACACCCTCATAGATTATTACAACTAAAACATAATGATAAAAAATAGACACGAGAGATATGATCATCGAAATTCTACTTGAGGCAGTGCCTCACCTGACGAGTCACCATTTAAAGTAGGGAAGCTTAACCTCCAAGAATTTCTATCTAAACTTAAACAGGTGATGTTACCAGTGAAGGCAGATACAAGATTTGAACGTAAATCTCGACCAACATCGCAAGTGAGAAACGTCATAAAATACCTAAGTGGGAACCACCTTAACCGTGAGTAACTATCTGTGCTATGCCTCGCCATGGGTATCAAAACCCAGTTTTTAGCTTTATACGCCTATAAACTTATCGCTGAGCCACTCACTAGGGGCTATGACATGAAATATGATTAGTATTGCCTGAGGCCGATTTCCAATACGTGAATGTCTGAAAGTGCGTATATCTAAAAAACAGTTTACCCTTTTAAGCTAAAAAAACATGGTAATTTTTCCAGTACCAAACAAAAAGTGTTTAACGTTTAGCTTACATTACTCGTCATACTTTATTAACTAAAATCAGTATTTTAGTTAGATTGAATAAATACAAGTTTTTTTAATCGTTTGTGCTCTGAGGTCTCTAATATGATAAACTTCCGGTAGTCACGGACTATTAAGGGCTTTGCCTCTGTTAGTTCTATGTCTTAATCAGTAACTAAGAGTACAATGTTTAGTTGGTTTGAACAATACGAATTATTTTAGACTTTACTCCTTTCAGAAATATTTTGTTTATATTTGACCCGATCTTTTAGTTCCTCAAGTTTAGTGCACATGTTTTTAAATCTTTCTTTTGAACATTTAAGTTATTTTGGCAAAAAATATTTAAAAGTGTGTCCTGGAGAAGTTGTGGCCTCCGATGGGTCTATAGAGAACACTTGAGTCCGCTGGTGGGTTAGCAATAAGTTTACGGACTTAGAGCGCTGAAATCTAAGACTCGTTTGTTTTGTTTGTTTTAAAGCAAAACCGCATTAAGCTATTTGCTGTGTCCACCGCAAGCAATTGAACCCAGAATTTTTTAGTGTTTTAAGTCCGTAAACTCACCGCTGTTCCACCGGAGGACTCCAGGTATTGATTTCTCGGGATGAACATGTGCTTGTAGCCCATTGTGTAGCTTTGTAGTAAGAAAACAACAAGAATCTTGAAAATTTCTTTTTTGGTAGAGGCCTTGTGGCCTCTCATGCTGTCTCTTAAAAAAATATAATTATTTTTTTCCCAAGTCATTTTTTATTTTTTTCATAGTCTACACTACATATATATATTTTAAAACCTTGCAATTTTATTTCTCCTTTACTATTTTATCATTTACGTGTTTCTGTACAGGTGACGCTGGAGAAACTATCTTTTTTTTTCATCTAACAGTCTCAGTGAGCATCCAAAATAATGTAAAACAATGTCACTAGATGTCAGCGTAAGCATATCAGTTATCAATTCTGTGCATCCAAGTTTCCCATGATGAGTGTGCGCATTTGATGCATGTTTATATGCGTGAGTGTATGTAATTCTGAGCAGACTGAGTTGGGGTAAGGTTTCGAATGACTGCGGCAAAAGGTAATAATTTTAAGAAAATAATTTACGTAATCCTTTCTTATATTGCATCGCAATGTCGTTATCCACATGGCTCTTTTAACGAAGCGATCTAGACAATGTAAAGAAACAAGAAAAAAGCTGTCTGGCGTTTGTCAGATCGGTTGGTGCACCGAGTTGCTCGTAGCTGTTTCCACACAAATAGGTGATGTACGTGTACATTGTAATGTAATCGGCGCTTCTCCACTCATTTATAATTTTATACTGTGTATCATTGTTGTCAATTTAAACTTTAAACTTGCTATCTAATGGTGTGTTGTGACAGTTATTATTGTGCTAGACACATGGAAAGTCACGTGATTTGATCATACTCTTTCATTCCCGATCTTGGCAGTTTGCCAAAGATTCAACAGAACGGGTTTAAGAGTTAAAATTACAAAGGTACTAAATATTTCTCAAGCTTCTGCGTCATAATTTATTTATAAATATTTTGCTTAAAATATTGTTAGTTTTGTCGTTATCAATACAATCATATTAATATACCAGTGCATTTTGATAAATGCATTTATATTTATAAAATAAATTATTTTACTAGTATTTACATGTGCAGAAAGTTCATGGTGTTCTGCTTGTTTGTGTTATTGTTAGGAGCTAAACTTACGAATAAAGATTACACTATAAAGTTCGGATTATTTTAGGTGTGTATAGTGAGTTATGACGCATTTTATATGATGAAGTATAAAGCATTTTTAAATGCAGTTTGAAGTAAGTCAGTTCGTAATCCCAAGCATTATATTAATAAATAAATAAGTAAAACAATATTATTCTTAGACTTGCACGTTCTTTTTTGGTTTCTGGCAACTGTGCACGCAACACGGACTATTGTTATCCCAGATGTCTCGGAGCTTTGTAAAAAGCAGGACTTAATAACCTGTTTCTTTCTATGTGTCTGCTAGACGGTCGACTACACCTGGAACAGGAATTTTCACGGGGTCAAACGGCTGATATTTTAATATGAACATCATTTTTGTACTACTAAATTCTTGTGTCTAGCCGAGGCTTACAAGTTACAGACATGGAAGATAACGCTTTGTTCCTTCTAGTTCTAGCTTGGTCGGTGGGTTGGATATGGTATATATATATAAACAAAAAACGTTGTAGATCCCACTTTCAGAAAAAAGAAGATGCTTATTTAAAACCAGTCTGAAGCTCGGTTTTAGCGGGTAGACAAAATCAATAAAAGTTGTTAAATTTATTTTGCTTTCAATGAAATCGACGATCTCGCACTTGCTTTGCATCCTTCGCAGTGTCTTATTGGCCTACAAAATGTTGTGATACTATAAGTTAATAAATATAAGTCTGAAAAAAAGCTGTTACTGAATTCAAGAAACTAGACGGTAATGAATTACTATACACCTTTGTAGCTTAAATCTATACAGTTCGAAGTAAGACACCGAAAGGCCATCTAAACTAAAAGTTTAGATGACATTTTGTTCATGATATGTTATATATGTGTGTTTACCGGTTTTCGCTAGGGAAGGCATTTTAAAATCTTGCCTAAGGCGGCAAATTACTTAAAACTGACCCTGGAGCGTCTGTTGTATTTTTAGAAAGAAATCAGGTTTTAGTACGTAATGAACATTACATCCCATTTCTCGAAGTGTGTATTAGTACCGTTCACACGAATAAAAATTAATAACAGGCATAGACAATTAACATATTGTTACGCCTCTGTGTTCGTTTGTTAATTTTCCGTAAAAATTCTTTCCGAAGAAACTTTAGCGATACAAGTCCTTTCTTAAATAAAACTAGTTTATTTTTTCTCAATACAACTTTGCAATACACTTAATTTCCACAGTCACGCTATAACTTAAACAAACGCTATAATTCACAACGAACGATTCACGCGCTTGACTCAATTGCCTGTCTCAATCTCTATCTGCAATTCAATTCCATTGTTGCCGCCACTTCTTGGCGGTCTTATATACATGAATACCGCACATCT